AATCTGTTGCTCACAGGGGTTTAAACCATCATGATGGCTAAAGTAGTATCATATAATCCTTTTTTGATGATTTCAGTCAGTGTGCATTGCCATTCCCATAAACTCTATTTTTAAAAGTAAATGAAAAATTAATAGTTTTCAGACAACTTTGGAGGGCTGTATCTATGCATGACAAAGCCTGTATGTAGTTTTTCTATACTGTTTAGTGCACCTTGAAGATAATCAAAACCAAACCCATCAAAGATTATCTTTGACACCAAGGATCAGACAGTATACATATATATTGGCTGTTAAATCCTCTTGCCATAAGAGGTTAAGGATATACAGTATTCAGACTCTGAGTGCACGCAAACTCTGAGGACAACATTGTAGGACATGAAATGCTCATTAACTGACAAAGCAACAAAAGTTATCCAAACTCATTGAGTTCCAGCACTAAGATTTGATAAATGTAAATAATAACCCTCAAGCAATTATCCAACCCAAGTTTCAGATGGGAGCACAACCTTGCTTTTTTCATTCTATTAGCATTCTACATCTTGTTGCACATTAAGAAGCTGGGCAGAACAGGAATCCTTACCTGTCAGCGTTGCCATGTCAATCATTGCCCGTGGTTTGTGCTGTGAGGCATAGTGAAGAGCATCTGCAAGAATTAGTCGTCCCTCTGCATCTGTATTGTCAATCTGGATGGACTTCCCATTTGAGGCGACAACAACATCTCCAGGCTTTGTTGCAGAGCTTCCTGGCATGTTCTCACAAAGAGGAATGAACCCTGGAATGAAAGTGTGCCTGAGATGCATATGACACTGCCATTTTATACCTTGATATATCAATTCATATTTTTTTCTGTAAATATTACTATGAAATAGTCAAAGAGTAATAAAAAGTCTAGCTAGAAATTTATGTTGCATCGACTGTTATGATTATGACTTTAATGTGAGTAATGTTGTTCATTTAATTCATTAAAACTCATGTGTAGTGTCAGAACCTGCCAGAGTTACTAAAGTAATAATTATAGTAAACATGTTTTACACTAACCACTGGAAGCAATGGTTAAGGAATGCTGGAAGACTGACTGTGCAAATGGTGATGTGTCTTAATGACAAACTATATCTCTGGAGAAATATCAAGACTCATGACCTAGACAGTGCTTTGCTGATCCTAAATCTGCCAGCTACATTCAAAACAGTTTGTGTTTGTATGTGTCCATGTTTTTTGAGTTCCTTGTCTGTTAAAATGATTGCTTCAACCAACACAATCTCAAATTCCCTCACCTTTTATGTTGATTGGGAGCCGCAAAGAGGCAGCCACCAGTAAGGAGCCAATAGTGCATGCAGCTCCTCCCATATCAGCCCGCATTTTGTCCATGTTTGCTGACGGCTTTAGAGATATTCCTCCGGTATCAAATGTTACACCTTTGCCTAAGTGAGGGAATATTGCACCGAAGTTAGAATCTAATTAACAACTACACCATAAATCGTTCAACACACCAGGTTCGTAACCTTTGTAATTCATTTACATTTTCATTAAGACATTTGCCTTTGAGATGACACCTACCTACAATAGCTAATGGTTTTTCTGAATAGTCTGCACCACGGTAGGTCAGCTCCAGGAAGACTGGAGGTTCCACTGAACCCCGTGTGACTGAGAGGAAAGCATTCATGTTTCGCTCCTTAGCCCACTCATAGCCTCGCACCAGCACCTCCACTCCAAGGCCTTCCAGGTTGTTGACTGCCTCCTAGAATGAAATTCCTTTTTCAGAATTGCATTATATTGGCCACAAGTTTTCAAGACTTCTGTACTATCCTTTAATATTCTAAAAAAGAACTTTGGAACAGACCTGTGCAAAGTTTGTGGGAGTGAGAATGTTTGCTGGAGTCTCCATTAGTCTCCTAGCAACATTCTGGCCCTCTGCAAGGACTGCACCTCTATCCAGCTGCAATGAAATTACAGAATGTTATATGGTAGCTCTCCTAATGACATGGAAGAGCAAATTTGAGCATTCAGTTCCATTTACATGATGCATATATTCTCTAAATATTAAACATGGAAATGTGCATATATATGATGATTGCTTATACTGCCAAAAAGACGGTGTAGCAATGGGATCCCCATTAGGCCCTTCCTACACTAATGCATTCCTTTGTTATTATAAACAAACCTGGCTTGAAAAATGTCCATCTAACTTTAAACCCATCTATTATCGACAATACATCGATGACAAATTTCTCCTCCTCAAACACCAATCACACGTAAATATATTTTTAACATATCTTAACTCGAAACAAGTGAGCATCAAATTTACCTGCGAGATGCAAGAAAACAATCAGTTACCCTTCACTTCACTTCCTCAGCTATATTCCTTATCTATACAAAATTAATAGCATCAAAACTCTATTCACTCGAGCCTACAACTTATGTAGCAACTGGTCAACCTTTCATGATGAAATGGTTTTCCTTAAAGAATTCTTTGTAACTAATGGGTACCCATTATTTTTGT